GTACCATGGGGGAGGGAAGGGGCCAGGAAAGGAACACAGGAAGCTGAGGGACGGGAGAAGAACTGGCTCTGAGGGTTCCCTGCAGGGCTGGGGGCTCTAGGGAGGAGAAGCTTAAGGGGCTGCAGAGAATCGAGGCTGGATGACTCGGTGCAGGGGCCTGGCCAATGCACCACGCTCACCGGCATCAGAGAAGCCACCTTCTGCTGCTGCTGCTGGTCGATCTTGAATAGCTGCACCTTGGCTCTCTTGAGGAGGCTGAACATTTTCTCCTCCACACCAGACAGTGGTAAGGAACCCAGACCTGCAATCCGGGGCTTCTCCAGGGGTGATGGCTGCTGTGGTGGTGGCGGTGGCTGCAGCTGTAACTGTGGCTGCAGTTGTGGCTGCTGGGGTGGTAATGCCTGGGGCAGCAGCTGGGTTTGCAAGGCCTGCAGGGGCTGCTGTAGCTGAGCCTGAGGCTGCTGCCCATTGCTCGGAGTTGGAACCGCAGGAGGGGGCACCTCAGCCTTAACAGTAGTGGCAACCACCGGGGCGAATCGAGGCAGACTGAGGTGGTTGGTACGGCCCGCTGCCCGTGGCTCAGGCTCAGCTGGAGAATCATCAGCGGGAGGAGGCTCTGGCTCAGGGGCTTCAGGGGCCCCAAGAGGAGGAGTAGTAAGCACCGATTCGTAGATCTTCAGGTGGGCTTCGCTTGGGGTAAACTGAGGGGCCCGAAGGAGCAGGGGCCTCCGGGATGGAGTGACAGGGGCAGGAGGTGGGGGTGGGGCTGGTGGAGGGGCTGGGGGAGGAGGGGGCAGCTCCCGGGTCAGTGAAGTCCAGCGAAATGTGGGTTCCCTCAGGATGGACCGTCTCTTCTCAGGGAGTGGCACTGGGGTAGATGGGGGAGTTGGGGCATGAGGTGGAGAGGGGGCTGGTGATGGTTCCTGGGGGGCAAGTGGGGAGACGGCAACGGGAGGCCGCAGAGTAGGTGAGACCTCCACCTTTAGGGGTTTGGGGGGATCTTCATCCATAAATCGCCGGGGTGTCTTGATGACACGGGAAGAGCGGGCACTCACCACAGGCATAATAAACTGCCGGATATTCTTCAGGAAGGTGGTACTTTTGGGGGCCACAGTGGGGCTGTCTTCCAGAGAGCCTCCTGTGGTGGTGGTGCTGGGAGCTGGAGTGGGAGGAGAGGTGCCCTCCGGCCCTGCTCGAGCAGCTTCCCGCTCTGCCCGCTGGCTGGGAGTCAGGGGAGGCCGGCCCCTCTTCCTGGAGCATGTAGCTGGGACCACAGGAGGAGGGGATTCCTCCTGCTCCTCTGGGGCAGGAGGTGGTGGAGGGGATGGTGGGGGTGGAGGGGACACTGGGGGTGGGGGAGGGCAAAGTGGGGATGGAGGAGATGTTGAGGCGGGTGGGAGGGGTGGAGGAGGTGGAGGGGCTGGAGGAGTCAGGGGTGGTGATGGCAGCTTTGCCTCTTCCTTTTCCTCAGCTACGCTCTCCTCTTCCTCAGCTACAGCTTTCTCTTCCTTCTCTTCCCCCTCCTCCTCGTCTTTCTCCTCTTCTTTCTCCTCCTCTCCCTTTTCCTCCAGCTTCTGCTCCTTCTTCCAGCAGGGGCCCTCTCCCTGTTCAGACCCAATTCTTCCTTGGGGGGCATCCTGCCAGCTTTCTTCATGTGGATCTTGACCCTGACCTGATTCAAGTCCCAAGGACAACTGTCCCATCTTCACTTTTTTGGCCTTTGAAACAAACTTGATCACGAAGGGGAGCCCTCCTCGGCCTCGGCCCCTGCCTCCACGACCTCCTCGCCCAGACTGTCCTCCACGCTTGGGGGTCCCAGGTCCTGGGCCGGGCCCCTCCTTGCACTTCCAGCTGCCAGTTCGGTGTTTTACTGGAACCACAGGAGGTGGTGGCTCAGGTTTGGGGATTGTCACAGCTGCTTCTGCCACCACTACTGCTTGCTGCTTTTTCCTGCAGGGGCCTGCTGGCCGTCCTGGGGGCCGTCCCCGAGACCGACGGGGAGTGGAGGGCTCGCATGCCCGGCTCCGGGGAGCTGGGGGTGCCTGGGCCCGCCGGAGAAGTTCAGTCAGTGCCTGCACCATCCGTTCCGTGCCCTCCTCACCCCGTTTCCGGGCAGGAGTCTTTGGGGGGGTAGGAGCCACATCTGCTAGGCGAGGAGGCGGAAGGGGGGTCGTCTTATGCTTGCGGCCCCGACCTCGGGGGGCTCGACCTAAAAGGAGAATAGGTGTGGGGAGATGGGTCAAGCTAGCCCTGCAGACTGAGGAAGGCACTCCAGGAGGGCAGGGACTAAGTCTTACTTGTCTGTTTCCCCCACAGCCCAGCCTAACTTGGGCTCTGAACACAGAACACACTCGGTAACTGATGGAGACTCTAGTGGAACAGGGAAGAGCTGACACGAGGAGTGAGAATAACATTCCTGTAAAACTATACAGGTAGAGTTTCCCCATCACTCACCTCGCTGGGATCGGAGCGCAGAGCGCAGGGAACTGGGGGCCACATCTTCATCTGAATGAAAACCCTGAAACTCCTGATTTAGGGGACCAGGGGTGGAGGGGAGAAACAGCAGTCAGTGCCAAAGCCCTCTTGCCACCTGAGACTCAGGTATTGAGGAATCTCCCCAGCTTCCCCCCTAACGTACCCCTGCCTATTTACAAAAGAACTACAAAGACAGGATGGTGAAGGGAGTAGCAGACAGGGTTTCTCCCTAAGGACGGAGGCACAGGGCACTGTGAACCCCTACTCCTGTGCCAGACCACAGCAACACTGCCAGCAGGTTCGCTGGCTCAGAAGGGAACAGCATAGTGTCTTCTCAGGCCAAGCAGTAGGCTACCCTTAAAGTGCCTCATGCTCCAACTCAGACAAGTGGGGCCTCCGTTTACACTCTCTCGGGCTGTAGTTTTTTTTCTTAAATAAAGATGGGAATAGAGGCACCCAAGCAGGCTCTGTTTGTGTGTGTATCAAATGGTTTATCATGTTAGGATCCACCCTGAGCCCTCATGTGGCTACAAACTGTCCTAAGTAATACAACCCACACCTTCCTGCCTTTTCTGAGAGGCTGGGGATAAATCCTGAGGTGAACTCCGACCAGCTGGAGTGCCCAGTCTCAGCCTTCGTTCCATTTCTCTTCGACCTGTGCCCCCAAGAGGAGGCTGTCCACCACTCTCTCCTCTCTTCACTTTAGGTCAGAAGAGGAATTGGGGCACTGATAAAACTAGGGATGTGGCAGAGGCTACGAGGCCGGGCGGGGCAGCCTACAGGTGAGTGCCCAGAGCCCTGCCTGGGTCCACTAAAGCCACGCTGTCCTGTCAACCACCACTGGTTGGGCATGCAGTCCCCAGAGCCTCCTCGTCCACCTCTACAGCCTTCGCCTTGCCAACTACCAAGAAGGATCAGCCAGGACTCTTCCGCAGCACCCGTCTCGGGCCCCAGCGCCCAGCTGCAGCCCGGGCTTCTCTATCCACTTTCCGAGGCCCCTTCCACCGACAGCTCCGTGCAATCTACCTCCTCCCATGCCTATTGCCAGGGTCTCTTCCCTCCGCAGGGGCCCTGAGGACCCCGCTTCGCCACGCCACCCCTCGGGGCCACCCAGACCCCTGCAAGCCCCCGGCCTCTGCCCCGCCCGGCGCTGGGGACGCCTCCGACTGCCTCACCTCATCGTCGGATTCCCCGTCACTGCTCTCCTCCTCCGGCATGCAGCCCCGGCTCGGGCCCCAGCCCCGGCCCCGGCCCCGGCCCCTGCCCCGCTGGACGCGCGGGCCGGCCCACAGGCGGCGGAGCCGGCGCAGGCCCCGGCGGAGCCCCAGCAAACGGAGCAGGGCCGTGTCCTCCCCAGGCTCGGCTCCGCCTGGCCCCGCCGCGCCGGCGCCGCGCCGCAGAGCTACCCGCACTCTCTCGGCCCCGCTGCCCCGTCCGCCGCGGCCCCCGCCCCCGCCGGGGCCCCGCGGCCGGCCCGGGAAGCGGCCCCGCGCGGAGCCAGGCCCGGGGCAACTGCCGCCGCCCGCCGCCGCCGCCATCTTGGCACCGTGAGAGGGGCCGGGGAGGCGGGGGGAGGGGCGGCCCGTGCGCAGGGCCGGGGGGAGGGGAGGGAGAGGAGGGGCGGGGCGGCTCACTCACGACAACAACCAGCGCCGCCGCGGGGTCGGCGGGAGCCGGGGGCTGGGCCGGCCACGCGCGGGGCACCACGGGAGCCGGAGTCCCGGGCAGGTCGGCCCTCACCCCGAGACCGCGCCTGAAGTGCATAGACCCCCGCGACGCGGCCGGAGAGGGGTGAAGCGCAGGGCCCTCGGGGAAATGTAGTCCAGGCACCTCGCTCCTTCCGCCGGGAGCTAGGGCCGCGAGACCTGGGACTCTGGGGTCCCGACCCAACCCAGAAAGCCATCCCCCACCGGCCGCTGGGAGGTGTGGTTCTCGCCCCAGACCCCTCCCATTGTTCTTGTCGAGGCCACCGGCCCGCTTGAACTACCACTCCCAGGGTGCAGTGAGCTTCGGACCCTGGGAGCCCCGGAGACACTGGGAAATGAAGTTTGCCGCTGCAGGAGGCGTGGGCTGGGGAAGGGGCAACGGCAAAGGGTTAGTCTCAGTTCGAGGCGTGACCCGGAGGCCGTTTAGCACAGTGTGGAGGGAAGATGCCGGAGAGGCCGCAGCCTTGCAGCACTTGTGCTGAAGGAGAGAAGGCAGGTGGCCGAAAGCAGGGCGGAGCACGCATTCCTCTCGACCCCGGGGCACAGGGCTCGGGCTGACTCAGACTCCGTGCGCTGTTGCTTGCTGTGGAAGGGGCGAGCAACTTGGCTTCCCACAGCCTCCCTTCACAGGGCTTGCTGCTAAGGCAGCCTGGACACCGATCCCTCGCGGCCTGCTGCCTCCCGGGTAGGACCGAGCCCCAGGAGATGGAGGAGGCGGCCACTGCGCCGAACAGCGGACGCACGGCCACCAGGGGCCGCTACAGGACCAGGGGCAAGGCTGGCCACTCCCCGGCTCCCACCCCAGACTACAGCCTGTACTTGACTTTCTTGTCCTGAGAGGAGGGCACAGGAAACTCTTTATTTTGGTGATGAAATCGCCAGTCCCCGCACAGTTAACCTTCACTAGTGCAAACGTCACTGCCCTCACCCGACACGGGCTCGCTGGCCCAGGATTCTGCGGCCTGCCATCGTCTTGGAGAGGGCTCTCGGCGCCCTTCCTGCAGCGCTTCTTGGCCGAATGGGCTAGGCTGCCGTAGCCGCGGTGCTGGATCAGAAGCCAGCCCGCCGGCCTGTCCTTCATTCTTTAATTGTACTCTTGGCTGAAGCCAAAGGAGCTACCGACACCCGGTCAGGTGGTGGAGGAAGGAGGCCTACAGGGAGAGGTCGAGGCCCGGGATGGCCTCGAGGAAGAGGAGGAGTAGAGGAAGGTGGAGCGAATGGTCCATCCAGGCGGGAGCTGACTGGGCGAGTGGCCGCGCATGTGCGCCTGCATGGAAGCCAGGCTGGGGCAGCCGGCCTGGCACAGAGGGCAGCGGTAGGGTGCGGCCCCATGCGTCCGTAGGTGCTTGGTCATGGCGGAGAAGTCCCGGGAGCGCTGGGGACAGAGGCTACAGGAGAAGGGCTTCTCTCCTAGGGCAAGTGGAGGGGAGGCCGGTGAAAGAAAGAAGGGAGTGAAAGCTGGCCTAGGGGTAAATCAGGGCAACTAGGTAAGGGAGTTGCATGGGAGCCAGGCACACAGAGAGGGACCTAGGAACCGGCAGACTGGAGTTTGGAAGGAAGCAGACAATTCACACTGGGCAGGGCGCCCATACCTGTGTGAACTCGGTAGTGCGTCTCCATCTGATGCTTCAGTGAAAACCTCTTTCCACAGACAGAACAAGAATAGGGCCTGGACCGAGCAGGAGGGGGCAGGGTAGGGTGCTGGCAAGATGGATGGCCTACTGTGCCCACATGACCCACACAAGTTGCAAGTGTACCTGTGGGGACAGAAAGGCAAAGGAGGGCAGGACTGGAAATCCCAGAGCCGGATCATTGGACACTCAGGCAAGACATCAGGTGCTACACTGGGGCTAAGGCAAAAGCTCCCTCACCCTGCTCACCTGTGTGCCTCTGATCAGACTCTTCAGTCTCCCCAGGGCTGAGCTGTGTGGGGCCCTGGGGGAGGGAACCTGGAGAGAGCAGAGCAAAGTAGGGGCCCTGTTCAGGCTGTACTCCTGGAGCCCCAGCGCCACCCAAGAGACCATGTTATAGGGTTCATGCAGGGCAGTGAGGAGCTTACCTGGGGTTGGGCTGGAGGAGGCCAACTGGTTCTGGCTCCAGAGCCCTTTGGGGAGGTTCAGGGACAGTGGGATCCTAAGGGTGGGGGAGGGAAGAATTATAGCCATGGCAAAACCTGGGATTGTGGCCAATCCCTTCCTGGGGAGGGAGGTGTCATGGGTCCTCCTCAGGGGCTGGGCTCTTGCTTCCCCTTTGGTGGGAGCTTCTTGTCCTATCCCCAGCTCAGGAAATGTACAGTAGAGATAAGAGATGTGGTACCCTTTCACCCATCACTGCTGCCTCTCCTGAGCCACTCCCTCCCAGCTTGGAAGGTCTTCCATGATGCTGTTCACTCACCTCTGGTCCTGAGGCCAGAGCTCCTGCCAGGTTCCAGTGATGGGGGTGCTATGGGAGTAGGGAGTGCCATATCTGGGCGGCAACAGCAGGATGCTCCACAGGGCAGGCTGGCCCTCCCCTAACCAAGGGGCCTCAGCCCACCAGGGCCTAGGGGTGATGCTGGTTTGGAGGGAACTTGGTGGGAGAAGGGGGCCAGGGAACTCCTGCAGACTTTCCTCAGAGCCCCCTGGAGTCTCCCTCACCCACATGATCACTTCTTGCTTCCCATCTACTCCCCCACGGCCAACAGGGAATTGGTTGAGTTTCTCCTTTAATCTCATCTGCTCCCCCTGGCTCTCACTCGTTGCCTCTGCCATCTCAGGGTTCTCTCTTGTTGGCCTGTGCTCATGCAATGTCTCCTGTTCTCTCCCACTAGCTCTAATAAACTTCTCTGGTCTCTGCTTCTCTCCAAGGCCCCCCACTCCTCTCTCAGAACCCCTTGTGAGTTTCTCTGGCTCCTCCTGCTGTTCCTTAAGTCCTGGACCCAGCTCTTCTCTAGCCCTGTCCCTTCGAGCCCTCCTGCATGCCTCTTCCAGGGACTGCACCCCCAAGGCCCTGGCCGCCTCCTCAAGGGGCCCCAGTTCCCCAGGTTGCAGCTCTACGCTCTCTCCATAAACAAAGTACAGAAGCTGGGCAAAGGTGGAAGGGCTGATGCCTTTCACCAGAGCCCAGTGGCCCCTGCGGCCCAGGTGCTGGCTCGCACCTGCCAGCACCAGGCTGTGGGCAGGGAACTCTTGGCTCCCCACAGTGATCAGGGTATCACATAGTGCTGGCCGGAGGCTGGCTGCTAGCCGTACCAGCCGATCAGAGCCATAGGGGCTAGACAGTCTCGTTGGGGACAGGGGCATTGTGCCTTGCCTGGGTACCAATTTTAGAGGTTCTGAGAGAAAGGCCACAGTGCAGGGTCCGTGGTGGAAAGGGGAGGGAGGAACAGCATAGTCTCAAGCCTGTGGAGGGAAGGGGAGAGTGAGTGAGTTGCTGGTTCTGGATCAGAGCTCTCTGTCCTGAATAGAGCAAATAAACTAAGCCAAGAGAGGGCCTGAGCTTATCCAGAATCATAACAGAGCCTGGGGGTGGGGTGGGGAGAATGGAAATTAGACCAGATTCAGGACTTAAAGAGCAAGGACCAGGCAGTTAACAACTATATCAAGTAGTGGGTTTAAGACTAGTATAGATGGGTCCTGCCAATTGGCAATCTCTGACTTAAAGGATGGCAGACGGTGATACTTCTTCTCCAAGCCCCTCTGCAGGGAAAACTCTGAGCAGACCAGGCTTTCCTCATTCCAGACAAAGAGATCACCATGAAACCCTGTCAGCCCTAGCAACTAGGGATGGAGCAAGACGTAGCTTCATGGGAGAGTTTAGAAAGCTAGTACTGTCCTCTCCCCACAAGCCCATCATGTGGAACTGAGGGTCCTGAGAGGCAGAAAGGGCAGCAAGACGGGTCATAGTTGACAGGCTCTAAGGCATCAATCAATCATCTCCCTGAGGCTGAAGCTTCTAGAGCACATTCTGAGAGAGGGAGCTGGAAGAGACCAAAGACTCCCATCCAGTGAGTTAAGAGAGCAGGTGCATAATCCACAGGAGAGAGAAGGCTCCCGACCTAAGGATGGAGGGAGGCTTTGGAGAAGACTTTGATGCCTGAGGAGGCAGGAGAAAGGGAAATGGGAACTGTAGAAGGGGAGGCTATTTCCTCTCAAGATTAGGATAAGGAGATGGTTTAATTTGGTTTTTCATGAGCCAAGAGTGAACAACAGAAAGACACAACCTAACAAGGCAGAAGTTTATCACACATCAAAACCACCACATTGGCTTTTAAGAAGAGACTTGGAACCTAGATACCAAGAGACAGACCTAAGTGTCTCTGTGCCCAGCAGGCATATTCCTAGGTGTGGGCTCACAGTTAGGAAGGACCCTTGAGGGAGGGAGGATTACCACTTGGACACCTCAGGGAGAGGGCCACAGGTTGGCAGGAAGTGGACAGAAAGGGGGCTAATGGAAGGAAAGTCTCAGCTAGGGAGAAGCAACCACTCACCAGTTGTAGCTTCCTCCTGGACACCGCATGCTCTGAACTGCTGTTGGGGCTCCTGGGGCCCCCCCTGGAGCTAGCCCCGCCCCTGACCTCACAGTCTTCCATTGGGTGTCCCAAGTATCAGTCTGCCACAGTCCCCCAAGGGGGTGTGGTTTTATACCCTTGGCTCTGCTTCACCCCTCCAGGAGAGACCACTCCCTCTACCTCCTGAATCCAAGCATTCTGCCTCCTCACCTCCCATTTTTTTAATTTCATATGTGAACTTCTAGAGTCAAAGAAGTGTGTCTGAGGCAACAAGAACTCTGGACTAATCAGACCTCATTTGAGTCTCATCTCTGCCATTTACTAATTGAGTCACCTTGGGCAAGTCACTTCTCTGAGCCTCGGTTACCTCATCTGTGAAATAGGGATAACCTCTGCTTACCTCATTTGGAGGTGGGAGTGAGGATGAAATGACATGATGAATGTGAAAGTGGTTTGTCTGTACACAGCATCATTCAAATACTATTAGTTCTATTTCTTCAAGGGGTCATTAGAGCTCTAGCAGCTGGAAGTTGTTTCTACTACCTGAGAAGTAAAAAGGACTGAATCATCTGGCTTCCAAAGAGAGAGTGAAGGAGGGCCAAAAGCATGCCTGACTTGGTACTAGGAAGCCTTGACAGCTCTGTGGGAATGACCCCTGTCATCTGGGCCACTACTGAGGACTGGGTGTGTAAGTGACTCAGATCCTCCCATCAAGCTCTGAAGGGGGCAACCCCAGGAAGGGCCTGCGGTGGTCTTCGAAGAGAAAAACTCCTTTTCTTGGGTTGATGACAAATGGCATTTCTCTGAAATCAGGACTCCGGGGTTTCTTTCACTTCCTGCCCAAGGGGTCAATGTCCTTGGAGATTTCCCCTCTTTTCACACTTTAGCACTCTTTAACCTGGGGAAAGGATGAGGTCTGAGAGACTCAAATTTCTTTTTCTGTTTCTTATTATTCCATTATCCCTCATCTTGTGGCAAATTTTTCATTCATTGAACAAGTGTTGATAAATCACTTATAATATGTGACTGGCATATCATATATGCCAAATAAATAACTGGAGGATATACAAGTCAGGCACTGGTAGGCTGCTCTGGTGACAAGACATGGTCTGGTTCCCCCTAGGCTTCTCCCTTAGATCCTGGTCCCCTCCTGGACTCAAATATTAGGTCTCTAAACTCCTGTTTCTCCCTTTAGCTCCAGGATCCCAAAATGTGCAGACCAGCCTTCTTCTCTTTCCCTCTAGACCTAACATGCCTTCCCTCTACCTCTCATTCTAGCTTGGGTGCAGGCAGAAGTTAACCCTTCCTAGATCAGACAGGGTGTGCCAAAGGGTGGGGCTGGTGGAGGGGCAATAATAGGGTGGGGAGAGGGGAAGATGAGTCAGAGTGAAAGGGAAAATGCAAATGGGCAAGCTGTAATCATTTGCTTCTCTGAACGTTAAATATTTTCCATTTCGGAGCTTTCTAATTCCTCATGCCACCACACCCGGGGACTCATTAGACACTCACGTAAAAGATACTTGGCCTGGACACATAAAAGCAGCAATCCCTGATACATATGTATACAGAGGGAAACATCCTTCCTCCAACATAGAAATACACAATCCCTGAAGAAATGGAATCAGTGGGGAAAGCCATGAGGGAGATAACCAAAGTGTAGAAGGAAAGGTGCAGGGGCCTGGACGATTACATCATCACCCAGTGGAGTGTGGTCCCCCTCACCTCCCAGCCCTATATCATGTGCCTGTGACTCAGCTCCCCCACTGGTGTGGTTTGCCCATTGATCAAGAGAACTGGAGACTGCTCAAAGGGCAGCATCCTCTGTAAACCCAAATGTAGTTGACAGTGTCAGTGGGCTTTCAGGAAACCTAAAAAGGAGGAGAAGGGGCAAGGGAACTCCCCATTCAGTGAACAAAAGCCCCCAAGAATGGGAAATCCCATCTTGCCTCCCACTTGGTGTTTACCCCACTTAAGGATATCCCTTTCGAGACCGCCTCCTTAGGGATATGTCTAGGGCCTCTATACCTCAGCCCTTGGCTGGTAACACTCTAGCCCCCTCTGTCTCACTGCATTCTTGACTGCACAACCCGAGCCATCTCGCACTGAGCAGTGACAGCAGAAGCAGAAACAAATAGCACTCTGACTTAGAAAGATAGGGACACTGCTGACTGTTTCTGTTCTTGAAAGTTCTCCCCTCCTTAGTCTCAGAAACCTTGCGCCCCTTCTACTTCCCAGGCTGACTCGGTGGGAATCACCTGCAGTTGTCTCCCTGGGGTGGAGCCAGGAAACCGCAGGTGATGAGGACAGCCTGCATCCTGGGAGAGGGTAGAGTGGGTAGGAGAGAATAGGTAGGACACCACTGTATGAGAAGTATGTGGAAAAGGAGGTATGATTTTTGCCTCTCAGTCCTTTATAATGCTCATATTACTAAGCAAAGCCCATCCTTGGACAGGTTAAATACTCCTTCTCACTTTACCTTGTGACCAATTTTGCCCTCTCCTCCCAAAAAAATCCAACTCATGCATACAATTTTTCTTATGATTTCCAGGAGCTCACAGACCCTTGAAATCCACTCATAGACCATCCCCTTGCATCCTGCACCCCTGGTTCCATGAGTGTACATGAAAGCACTCTGAAAGCTTTAATTCCAGGTAGAGCTTGAAAAGCTGTGTGAGATTAAACATCAAGAACTTGGCCCATAAATACAAAAAGATCTTCGGTAAAGTCAACCTCGGTGATTTCCTAAAGAGCAGGATATCTCACACATCTCTTCCTGTGCCCACTACAACACCCATCTTTCCCATGCACCTGCCCCATGCTTACAGCCTGATGTCTTCTGGGAAGGACCAGAAAGAGTTTGTGGAAGAGGTGCGGACGGGGACGGAAAGGCCCCAGACACAACCCATCCTGCTTCTGTCTAGAGCCACCAAAGGCAATTATACCTCATAGAGGGCAACCCACCTGGCTGGGATTTGGAGACCCCCCTCCCCAGAACCTCCAGAAGACCACAGGCTTAACCTCTTGGCCACGTTGTCCAACTTGGAACCAATATTGGAAAAATCTGCTAACAGCACCTCAACTCAGACCCCTAAAAGCCTTGCAGCCACGTGTTCCCAGTGCAGCCTGGAGGCAGTGACCCTTGACAGCTTCCCGTTGGACTTTCAACCTCATGAACGTCCACTCTCAGCCCAGGCTGGATCCAAAGACCCCAGACAACTTCTTAAGGGCACACTAGTTTCATCTCTTGGCCAGTGACTCCCAATGACCTCTGGAGAGTCACAGGCCTCTCTTTCCAGTCACCGGATGCAGACTCAGTCCAGAGACCCCAGACATCCTCTCACCATCCAGAGGCCTACCTCATGGCCAGTGACCCCACGCAGAGCCCTAAGGGCCTCCGAGTGCCCCACGACACTCTTCCGAATCAGGCTGGCCTCAGGGACCACCGACCAACTCCTAGGGCATGCTGGCCTGGCCTCTGCCCAGCCCGGGCCCAAAGGTGCCTAGGAGGCCCATTTCCACCCTCTCCAGAACAGAGGGAGTCCCCAGGGCCTAAAGCCCTCAGCCCTCCCTTCCCCATTCTCACGGCGACCACTCAAGCCTCAGTCCCCCAGCTTCACCTGAGCCAGGCCCAAGCCCGAAGAAAAAGAGTAAGAAAAACCATAGCACTCACCAACTCGGACCCGGTTCAGCCTCACCCACGCTCAGCCTCACCTACGCTCAGGGCGGCAGAGACCCCAGCGGCCGTTACAAAGCGCCAAGCGGCGCGAGGCCCCGACCGCGAGGCCGGCGCGTGCACAGCGCACTCCTCGCGCCGGGACCTGAGGCGGACGCTGATTGGCTGCCGCGCTGGCCACACCCTCTTTCCCAGCTCCCGCCTCAACCGCCTGGGAGGCAGCGAGCACACCTCCGCTTCCCTGCTCGCGCCTCGCGCCCCGCCAGTTGGCCGCGGAGCTGCACCGGACCGGCCGCGGACTCAGCCTGCAGCCCTCCGAGGCCGAAACCTCACCGTCCAGCCCGCCCGCACGCTGAGCGGCTGAGGAGTCTGCCCCTTCCCACGCTCTCTGTGAAGAGACTGGGCCCTGCGCTTCCTTCCCCGGGAGAGACTTGGAGGCTCCCTCCGCAGGGGCTGAGGGACGCCACCGCTTTCCTGCTCCTGTCTTGCCACCCCGGGTAGCTCTCGTTGCACACCCTTTCCCTTTCTCTCACCCCTTTACAACCTGTGGAGAAGTGTGCGTGTGATTGGCTGGGAGGCCCTCAAGAGCCGGCCAGCCTTCGGGTGCCTGTGGCAGCTCCCCTTTCCCGCCTCGGGCCCTGTCCCACCGCTGATTGGCTGCGGAACGCACCCTGCCTCACCCGGAAGTATGCGGGGACAGGGGAGACACACCAGGGGGCGGGGCCTTGACCCGTGATTAGTCTGGACGCTCGCCCTTCAAACGCTCATTGACACCTCCGCTGTCAGCTGAGCCGGGCTTGACCGCGTCCGTACTTCATGGGCCAGCCCCCCGCCACACCGCAGAGAGAACCGTCCAGGGCGCTGCCCCCTACTGGCTGGCCCGGGCTTACATCCCGGCCTGCGGGCTTCCAGCCTAGGCAGGGCTTTGGTGCTGACAGACGACGAGGCCGCGCCCCGCGGGGCGGAGAGCACCGCCGGCCTCCCTCCTCCCACCTGCCGCGCTGCGGTTGCACCGCTGATTGGCCGGCTCCTCTCTCTTCTTAGTGGCTTAGCCTGGCGTTCGCGCTCGGACACATCCAATGAGGTGCGAGGGCGCTTTACGGAGGCGGGCATTGCTCCACCGCTTCCACTTCTGATTGGTCCTGAGGCTGCTTCGCTTTTGATGGATCCGAGGGCCGGGAGGCGGGAGCCCCACCCCGCGGTTTCGGGCGGCAGCGAGGGCTAGGTGCCTGTGCTTGGGCTGCGCTCCGGGGCTCCTCGGGGCGTTGTCTGAGGCCTCTTCCCCGCGGCCAGCTGAGGAGTTTGGGGCTGGGGCGCAGGAGGACCCTCCTGAGGAGGGCATGACGCAGAGGAGCCTGCCGCACAGCCGGAGCTGAAAGTCCAGGAGGAGATGGCCTAAGGCGGGAGCAAACCCCTCAAAAAGCAGGGACGGCAGGCGCCGTGGAAGCGCTGACGGCCGCTCCCGCTTCCCGAACCCCTTCCGGCCACCATGCTTTGTGCAGCATCTGTTGAATCCTCTTCAATAACCCCGTGAGCCGATTGCTCTGCCGCCTTAAACTCTGAGGGTCAGAGGTGAAGTCGCTTGTCGCAGGCCCCACAGCGAGTCTGGACGTTGCTGGGACTCTGCCCTCGCTCTGCTGGGCGTCCAGCCTTCGAGCTACACCACGGCTGATCTTGTAGATGTGGGCTGGTCTGATGCGGTCCCGAGGCCCCTGGCTTACCCGTCTATAAATGAGGGTTTTTTGACTTTTGTTTTGGACTTGAATCTGATCCTGAAGGCTTTGCTCAGCGCATATTTTCAACTTCTCAAACTTTTGGGCAAATACATTTGCATTCTAGAAAAGGATATTTGAAAAATCCGCCTCCTGAGGTCTTTGCCGCTGCCGGCCCCTTGCACTGAACCAGGCCAGTTTTAAGCGCTTTACACGCACCATCTGATAGAATCCTCGTGACGAGCTCTGGCAGGTAGTTCCTGTTATTCCCACTTCACAGATAAGCAAATTGAGGCTGGTAGAAGTCACTTTCCCTAAGACGTCACCAGGAGTCGTCGTCAGAGCTGGAATTGGAACTAGGCCTGTTGCAGTCCGACTCAGGGCCTAAGCTTCTAAGCGTTGGTACACCTGCCTCCCATCCTGACAGCTACGGTGTCCAGAGCACGGACACACGTGGTCCTGGGGAATCCTCATACCCACCTAGGAAGAGGGATGGTGACGACACCCATTGGAACAGGCAATTGAGCTCACGGAGAGGAGACCCTCAGCTCAGCTCACAAAGCTGGTCCGTGGCTGAGCATGGACTAGAACTAGTGAGACAAACCCTTCTGAATCCAGACCCACGTTCTCAGTCGCTCCTCACACTGCTCCCTTCCCGTTTGAGAGACGGAGAAACTGAGGCCTCAGGAGAAATCAGAGTTGGAATTCAGACCTGGGGCTGTCAGATCCTAGGGGGTCACCCCCGAACCTCATTGTCTCCAAGAATTGCTTGTCGGTTCATCCTGGGTTGGGTCAGCTGAGCCCTCTCGCCCAGCCTGGCTTGTCTGCAAACAAGAGTTCATCTGGTCCCAACTTTGGCCCTAACGGTGGTTGGGAGTGTATTTCACAGCCTCAGACCCTTTGAAAAGGGACTTCTCATTGAGAAGCCCTAATCGTAACTGCTACAATTTATCGAACATTTTTTCTGGGCCAGGTGAAGAAGAAGGCATTCTGCATGCATGTTCTCACTGAATGCTTGCAATAATTCTAGGACAAAAGGGATTGTTACTGTCCCCATTTTACAGGTGAGGAAACTGAGACCCAGAGAGGGATGTAACATTCCTGTGTTTACAGAGCTAGCGAAAGGTGGAGGCTGGATGGGATCCCAGAGAGCCTTACCCCAGAGCCCTCACATCCAGCTGTCCAGCGTGCGCAGGCATGAGAAGATGGAGCGAGGGACCCTGTGCTCTGACAAGAAGGAGGAGGCAGGGTTGTCGGCTTCATTCTGGTGGTCAGATTCTAAGATTAGGAGAATCAAGTGTCTGAGAGGAGTAGAGAAATAACTGTGGATTATTGAGCAACTACCCCATGCCAGACCCTATGCTAACTATGCTTTAAAGTATGCTGAGAAGCAGAGAGCCTTGTGGTTAGGAAGCTGGACACGGGATCCAAACTGCCTGGATTCATATCCTGGCCTTGCTGCTTACTAGTTGTGAGACCTTTGGCAAGTTGCTTACCTTCTCTTGGCCTCAATTTCCTCATCTTTAAAGTGAGGATAATGATGGTAAATACCTCTCAGGACTGTTGAGAGGATTAAATGAACTAATAGAACAGTGGCATCTCTTTTCTTCCCCAGTGCCCTGAAACTGAGTTGGTTCCCTGCCATCAGCATCACCTGCCTTGACTCTGGTGTAGACACTGAAAATTAAGGCTGGATATTTGCCATAGGAAAATCTGAGGGAAGTGTGTTCCCAGAAGAGGTAGCAGTGCAAAGGCCCTGAGACAGGTGTGACCTTAGTATGTTTGAGGTACAGCAAGAAGTCCAGATTGGGTGGGAGGATGAGTAAGTCCCAGGAGCCCAGCTCCACTGCTCAAACGTTCATAACAGATGTAAAAATTACCCTGTACTTTTCAGAGAACAAAGGACTTTCCCAAAGTTTTGATCTCTGGAGAAACTCAAGGCCATGATTACTTTCAAGGCTTGGTGTCCAAGGTTGCACAGGAATTTAGAGATAACACTCAGAACTCAGGTTTTCTTGCTTCCCATCCAGGGTTCATGTGTAGGGGACAGGAGACTTGCATTCTCTCAATGTTTATTAAACTCTATCAGCATATGCCATCTGTGCTGAGCCCTGTAGAAGACTCAGCCCCTTTCAAATCTTTAAATTCAAAGATTTAACCTTCTAGAAAGGAATTAGATCTCAAACCATATCCTTCCAGAACCAAGTGGAAAGTGTAGCAACTGAAGCCCACAAGGGGCACTTAAGCCATGAGCAGGGGAGGAAAAAGGGTGAGGGAAGACTTCCCAGAAAAGGTGGTAACACTTGAGTATATATTTTTGGAGTACCAACTATGTGCTAGACACATTGTTTGGTACAAAGTATATAATGGAAAGCAAGAAGAGATGGACTGTATTAGTCTGCTATGACAAAATACCACAGACTGGGTGGTTTAAACGTCAGAAATTTATTTCTCACAGTTCTGGAGGCTGCAAGTCCAAGATCAAGGTGCTAGCTGGGTTGTTCTCCTGAGGCCTCTCTCCTTGGCTTGCAGACAGCTGCCTTCTTACTGTGTCCTCATGTGGCCTGTCCTCTGTGCACGCACATTTCTGGGGTCTCTTCCTCTTCTTATAAGGTGCCATAGACTGAATGTTTGTTCCTCCCCCCCCAAAAAAATTCATATGCTGAACCTAATCCCCAATGTGATGATATTGGGAGATGGGGCCTTTGGGAAGTGCTTAGGTCATGAGGATGGAGCCCTCATGAATGGGATTAGTGCCTTTATGAAAGAGGCCCCGGAGAACTCCCTTATCCCTTCCACCATGTGATGTTACAGCAAGAAGACAGCTATCTATGAACCAGAAGGCAGGTCCTAACCAGATGCCAAATCTGCCAGTGCCTTGATTTTGGCCTTCCAGCCTCCAGAACTGTGAGCAATAAATTTCTGTCCATCCAGTCTGTGGTATTCTGTAATAGCAGCCAAATGGACTAAGACATAAGGACATCAGTCCTATTGGATTAGGGCCCCACACTTATGACTTCATTTAACCTTAATTCCCTCCTTAAAGTCACATTGAGGGTTAGGGCTTCAACATATGCATTCTGGGGGGACACAATTCAGTCCCTAACACTGAATATCTACCATTGAGGGGCTCACAGTCTTGTAGGGGAGATGCATATTATTTATATCAAGGGGAGAGAGCAGGGCAGAATCGGTAAGATGTCAACTCCGGAACAAGACTGGCAGGGTTTGGGTGCTGCCTGTCATTTACCAATCATGTGAGCTTGAG